GGGATTTAATTTAGCGGTAAGTAAAGGTGTCAAAATACGCTTAGCTCGATGGGCCAACCTGAAAGACCCAAAAAATAGGTCAGGCTAGACAAAAAAAATTTATGTCCTAAATAGAATCAAGTCAATTTTGGCCCAACCTATTTAGATCATGACCTAAATGATCTTAGACTAGGCTAGTTCATAGGTTTATGAGTTGACTCTGTTTTATAAAATAATAATTATTTTTAAAATAAAATAAATATAATAGTATTTTATTAAAAAATATATGTATAATAAATTAATTTGATAATATATATAATTTAGAAATAATAATAAACCTTAAATATAAACTTCATTTGCTTTGATCATCTTCTTCTCTATTGTTGCCGTTAGTTGCAACTTCCCACGCTTCTCTACTCATGTGCACACCTCCAACCCCTCTTCTTATAAGTCTATGTGCTTGTCTCCATGTGTATTATTTATAGGTATTTTCATTTTTGTTATTTTGTCTTCTAATTAAATTTTAACTCTTTTTATTTATTTTAAATTATGAAAACTTCATTTCATACTACAAAACCTACTCCTCCAATTGGTAACTAACTCATCTATTAAGAGTCATAGTTCTTATGTGTCTAGTAATAGTAAGAGGGATAAATTTAAACAAAAACATGGAGTGTCTAAGAAAACAAAAACCATTACTTTTGAAGTGTGGACTTATTTTGGAAAAGTTGGTCTAGTTGAAGGGATAAAAAGATATAAATCTAATGTGAAAAATTGTATACATGTAAAGGAACTTCAGGGACCAATCATTTATGATGACATATTGTAGTATATTTCCAAAGTATGATGATGTGAGTCTTATATTGAATAATAAAACTAGTTTGTTGAAGTAATGAAAATTTGACTCTAAAGTTGTCTGAGATACACTTGCTAGATGCATAATTAAGCATGATCTTTCATTTAGCTATGTTGACAATGAGGAAGTTTGGAAGGTAGATAAAATTTTGAATCTTGGTTTTAAACCAATTATTAGAAACAATTACTCATGTTTAAAATGTCTATTTAACAATTATAACTTCTCAAGACAATTATTAAAATATGTTTAGCTTCTGATAGATAATTATAACTTCTCAAGACTACATGACTATAATAATACATTACTTTCATTTTGTGATATTTTAAACATTCCAATTACAATAGTAACTTTATCTCCAAAATGTGCGAGCTCTCATTTGTACTCGTATTTGGTTGCGTGGTATGATCAAGTTAGACCTTGTAGTATACTCAAACTAGTATTCATTATTTTGTAATCTTTAAATTATACAAACTTTAATTACTTAATGATATTTATTAGTTTTTGTTATCAATTATAAATACAAAAGAAGTGGATATTTTAAGATTTTATACTATCAATTTTTGTGCAATGATTTTATTTTGTCAAAATAGTTTGAGTTAGTTTTGAATAAATAAATGAATGACATATTATTATTTTTTTAAAATAAAAAAATTATAAATAAAAGATTTTTTTGTTTTTAATTAAGTTAAAAATTGTTCATTGATCTAACATAATAAATATTTAATATATTTACTTGTATATTTACAATTTTACCCTCTCAGCCTCTCCTCGCTTTTGTAACTCTCATATAATTTATGATTTTGTTCCCCTCAAACTTAATGATCATTTAATATATTTAAGTATATATCTATAATTTTATCTTTTCATTTTTTTCATCTTCTTTTTATATTTATTTATTATTTATTAATAATATATTATTTAGCCCCAAGATCAATGGTCAAGATCTCGCCACTCATTGCTCGAGAATAAGGGGACGTGGTTTTGCATCATGTGCCTAATATGAGAAAATGTTTGGATAGCATTTTGCCTTCATGTTGACTGAACGAAGTAGTATGATGTGAATCAAATAATGATATTCTTACTCATAAGGATGTTCATAATCTTTTACATACACAATATTCCTTTAAAGATTAGGGAAGCAACATTCTACCGATTAGATCCTTGGTGATTTGGAAAATATTGCATAAATAGGATTTCAATAGATTGATGTTAAAAGCAAGGGGATTCACATGAACTTAATATGTAGTAGTCTTTGTCCTTCTATTCATTTGAGAGGTAGATGGATTCATTATTTATATTTTAGTAAATCAATTATTTTTCTGTTTATCACATTTTTAGTGAAGGTAATTGATGTGCACGTAGTTTGGTTAATTTAGGTCTTAAGAATAAGTCTAAATTTACTTATTTGACAATATGTGATCTTATATTAGTCTTGAATTTTTTTTTTCAGGAGCAAATTTGGCCTCTCTGGATATATAGATTTAATTAGTTATCTTCAAATTATTTTATTTGAGGAGTTATCTACTTGTTATTACGAGAATAAGGTTATCATAATTTTGAATATGATCTAAGATCTTGAACTTAAGGGTTAACTACACTTGTAATAATATTTGTTGGTGGAAAGAAAGATAATAAGTAATAGCATATTTTTTATTATTATTTAAAATTTATTAAAAATACAATTAAATAAATAAAATTAATGAAACGACTTAATAAAATAAAATTCAATTAATATTAAAAAGACGTGTTAAAAAAAAGTTAAAGTTGTCAAATTTTCAATTTTATTTTCTTTTAAAAAATAATTTTTAGTTTTTATTTTTATTTTTATTGTTTATAATTGATTTTCAACAGAAACCAAAAATAGATAAAATATATAGAAAAAAAGGAATTAACTTCACAGACAAATTTATTTAAATATTTTTTTTAAACATATGGACAAGATTCAATATGCGTACATACAAGATGTCTAAAAAATTGTTAGGAAATAAAATTTTAATAGTTATTCCAAAACACATTATTTGTTATAATTTGCACAATTTTTTTCTACTTTTTTTATAAGTTTATTAATTTAGGCTGTGTAATATTTATTTATTTATTTCATGTGAAGTATTAACAACTTTTAAAAATATAATAATCTCTTTATATGATCATAAATTAATTAAATATTTTTTAAAAATTATTGTTTTAAATTGATTTAATTGATTTGAGTAACTTCTAAATGTGTTTTTTTTCTTATTGTTCTTGTTGTGAAAACATTATATCCAGAAGGAAGAAACATTAAAATTATGATTTTGTAGCAATAAATATTAATTTATATAAAAAATATTTATTGCAAGATTAAAAAATAACCTTTAATAGTGTTTGTATTTTCTATGTTAAATGTCATTTCTAGAAGATCATTCTTTTTTTCTCATTTTCAATAAAGTGTTCTCATGTCTATCTTTAATTGATATATTTTTAGTTAATGCACTAACTAATTTCAATTAAATAAAATATTATGAGTATACACACTTAGTTTCATTAATCTTTTAATAAGTGAATTTTCACTTTAAAGAACAAACTTTTAATATATATTACAAAAAATTATAGGAACATCTCACATATTTTTGTTTATTTGTCTAATAAACTAATATAAATCGTCAGAGAATAAATTTGTAATTTAAATTAGAAGGATTTTGTATTGTTTATAACATTTTGATTAAAAATCACTCCAGCTAGAATGAATAAAAAATGTAAGAATAAAAAGCTAAAGGACATCTACTAGAAAGAAAAATAAAAGATAACAATATAATAAGTTAAAATAAATTAGATTAAATAAATAGAACATGAAAAAATATTAAAAAATAATATAAGAGAAAAAATGTCATATTAATAAATTTGAAAATATCAAATTTTAATTAATCTTAGAAGATATAATTATTAAACTAAGAAAAAAAGATGATACATAATATCGTAAAACTCAAATAAATAAATCAATAATAATATCTTTCTGATTAAAAAATTATCAAATAAATATTATTTAATTATAAATTATCATTATAATTTTCATTAAATGATCTTTATATATATAATAATTTTTTAATTAAATAAAATAACTATAAAATATAATAATTATATAACCATAAATAATTTATTGTTATCATAAATATTATTAATAATAATTATATAAATTGTATAATTGATCTACCATATTTAAATTCATGACAAATTTTAACAAAATATAAATAAGATATTAATACCAAATTTTAATTAATTTTTCAGAGCATAATTACATAAAGTTTACATTATATTAATGATAACAAAGTTAACTAATTTTAGAAAATTTTATATATATATATATATATATATATATATATATATGAAAAATTTAAAATATCAACTTTGATGATAATTTTTATTTAATTTTAGAAAATACAATTACATTAATTTATTATATATATATATATATATATATGTAATATATTTTAAAAAAATATCATATAAAATTGTATGCACATATAAAAATTATGTGTGTGTATATATATATATATATATATATATATATATATATATATATATTTAAAATAACAATAAAAGTTATAATTGGGTGAGAGGATGTTGTGTCCTAAATTTTCACCTAATTTGAAAAATGTATGCATGAAATAAAACATAGTTCAAACAAAAAATAAAAACTTTAGAGAGAAACCAACACCACACCACAACAGGAAACCGCCTTCCGAAGAAACCACATTGCACCACCACCGTAAACCACCTTCCCAGAGAAACCAGTACCACACCACCACAATCTAACACGGCACCACCACAATAAACAAGCACCGGAATGGAAGAAATAGTGGCAACTCCAGAAGAAATAGCAATGGCACCAGAAATGCGTTCCTTTAAATAATTTTACTGATAATCTAGATTTGTAGCAAAAATTTGTGTCCTGAACAACAACATTCCATTCGAATTTGCTATAAACTGATTTTCAGTTCACATTTCGAAATTGTTGAAAATCAGAGCGTTATTTTTTTTTTAATTGACTCGTTAAAAATACATATTTTTTACCTATTTTCTACAAATTATAACATATTTTCTACCAATTTTCTATGCATAAATATCGAACACGTCAGATACGAATACATTAACTATAATCAGCAGCATCTTGATTTATATATCACTCACGTCATTTGGGCTCTTTTGGAAAATGCATCTTGATAAGTGCAGGAAGTTCGGCTAACTCAACCTGAGGTTTCCCCAACAAAATACTTTTTAACTTATCATCACAGTTGATCACATTCTTGTTGTTTGGATCCTGCTCAATTAAAGAAGCAACTTAATCATTCCACCGGAGCTGGATATCAATAAATTAAAATAAATATACACAACCCATAAAACACCATAGCCAACTTGACATTGGATACCTGCATTTTACAAATTTATAACTTTCATTTTAATAACTTCACAAATTTTAGAGCTATAAAAGTTCATTTAACAGTTCAAAAACGTCAGGAGGAGATCTCTGTTTTCGAATATGTAGATAGTACAAAGCATAGTTCAAACAAGATACGTCAAACAAACTAGAGATTTATTGTATTGCCTCAACCCGTGTATAAAAGAGTACGTTTTGCTAAGTACTACTGTACCATTAAAGTTGCAAGGTAGCATATCTTAGCCAAATTTAGGGTTGTGTATGTATTTATGTAAAATAATGAAAGAGTACAAATGAATAAAATAATATTCAGTTCCATTTTTTTTTTCTTAAAATAGGATGGAATGGAATGAATGGTAAAAGAATACATTTCATTCCATTCAAACAAATACTATTTTATTTCTTTCCTCCCAATTTGAGGTAAAGAATCACACCTTTTTTTCCCCATTCCGTTATAAAAATACCCAAACAATATAATCATAAATTTATTCAAATCCACTCCATTTACCATTTACCATTTACAAATTAAAAAATGGGCTACTTGTTTCAATATTGAATTACTCAACTACCTTGTAAAGGTCCCATTCCAATCATTGACTGTTCATATTTCCTACCACTTTTAATCACCCCCACTCCTCAAGGCAATATTTGTTTCAAAAGAAAACTCCTTGAATTGTTTAATAAAACCCTTAGCTCAAAAGACATATCTTGAACTCTACCTCTTCAACCATAATCCATTAACAAACAATTCACATAATTCTGTCATCACAAGTAATCTTAACATAAATTTTACAAACTTCAAATGCGAGGCAAACTCCAACTTCCAACAAGATAGATTTGAATTTAACTTCAAGAAAAACATCACATTGTTTTTAAGAAAAGAGGGGAACCTGGAGATTTTTGGTTTTGATGTAGGACCAAACGCACATGAAACAACCCAAACGGGAAATCTGAGACTGACCCACAAATTCTCTGAGCGTGGATGGAAGGTTTACGAGGTCAATCAAGTTGGCAAGCTTCTTAGGGTTGTCAGTGATGGCTTTCTTCATGCGCTGAGGAAGCATTTTTGCTTTGAATCCCTAAAATCAACACCTATGTGAAGAAATAGAAGACTAGTGTGATTGGAGTTTGAACGATGCTACGAAATGATGAAAATGGAGGAGAAAAAAGGGGTTTGAATAGCAGTGTCACATCAAAACCAAATAAGGTCTTAAATTGTTCTAGAGCTAATTGTTTATGGCGTTTCAATTTTTAAATTTCGTTTAGCAAATAATTTCAAAATTATAAATGTAATAGATTCCTGATCTGATTTCGATATGATTGGTGTTGAGCATTAATTTAGTTTTTATATAACTAGGATATTAAAAATCTTATTTTGGTTATCATCTGTATAAGTATTAGGTTCAAATTCAATTTCAAACCAATAAAATAACAATAAAAGCTAAATTTCTTTAAATTAATTTTTTGATTTTTTTTGTAGATTTGGTTTGTTTGCAATTAGTATTTGAAAAATTGAATGTATCAAAACTTGTACGGGTTATCTTTGCATCGGTTGGTACCTGATTATTCCTTTTACTAGGAGGGTAGGCAGACAAACAACCGATCATGCACAAGCTCTAGCACGACACTCATCGCACCCAGGGGTATGCGGTCAAAATCCGATCTTTCAAGACCAAACCCAACATCTGATAGCCCAACCTTAACCCCTAAAGATCAAACATGCTCGGCCCAGCATACACTATAACGGTTACAGTAACCAGAAGAGTAAAAAAGAGGAGTAATTAAGCCATACATATTGGGATCCATAATTCCCCATACCTCGGGGATTCCTACTAGACAACCAGAATTATCACCTATAAATACAACCCCATACCCATGAAAAGACTCGTTCAAGCTACACGCTCTCTTTTCATTCTACACTTTTCATGTTCTATAGAAAACCTCAAAATCCCAGAATATTTTGGCGCCATCGTGCAGAAAGGTAAAACTGCTCCCACTCCTAAAAACCTAAGAATCAACCAAAATATTCAATGATGACATAACAACAAAATGCAACCCCAAGCCAATGAAGAAGAGGAGACTTTGTGATTGGCTCAGGTCATGCAAATGATGCAGATAATGATATATGTTGAGATACATCGTTTAAATGTGACCTAAAGATATATTTTGAGATAACATACAATCTTAATAGTCTCTCTAACATAATAAAAAAAATTATATAATGATGACAATAAAAAATCTTTTCATAAGTTGACTTAGGTGTATACCTTTGTCAGTTCCTATAATTAGGATGTATAAGTTATGATAATTCAAAAATCCTAAATTTAATAAAATCGAATTAAAAAATATTAACTCACTAATATTTTCTATAAAGAACTACATAGTTTTGATTCTTCATTACACCTAGAAATATGTAGGAGCAAGTTTTATTCCTATGGAGCTCCAAAAACAATAATATTTTTGTGATTATTATTTTTATAATAGTAATAATTTTAAATAAATATATAATAAGTAAAAGTTGTAAAATGTTAATTAATGATCTTTATTTAAATTAATTTTTTAGATTATCTATGGATGAGATAAATATTTTAAAATAATTAATATGTTTAATTAATTATAAGTAACTATTTTTAGGATGAATGTTGTAGGGTATTAACACTTTTCCTACATGTAGTAATCAACTCCCAAACTTAAAACTTAGATTTCATGGACCAAATTTTTTCTTTTAAATGGCTTTTTTCAATGTTTTTCTTTATAAATATTGGCAGTAACTCCATTATTTATTTCTAATGATTTTTCCTTTTTTTAAGTGTCCTGCCATGACCTAGTTACAACACATCTGCTTAAAAAGTTGGATGCTCGGGTTGGGCGTCCAATATTGCAAAAAATCCTCAAGCAAAGTCAGGTTTTGAGCAAGAGCCATAACCTTTATAAACTTCCCCTTAAAACACTTATATGATGATAAGAAAAGGGTCAGTAGCCTGCAACCAATTACACTGTTGACTGACACCTACAACACTTCTTCGACAACTTGAACTCAAAAAAGTAAAAAAAATAAAAATCATGTCTAACAACGACACAATGTTGAAGTAAGTACACAATATATGGAAGGCCCTCACAAACACTCAATTGTTCCTATGCAGTTGAGTGGGTGCCACATTCATAATGATCAACACCTCCTTCTTGAAAGGATCTAACGACAGTTGAAGTCCTAGCTTTACAAACAACATGCTATAAAAGAAACAAAAAGGTACGACTGGATCAGCACCATCATCCTTACATATCAGCTCAATCTCTGAACACGCCTCTAATGATATTTCTTTTCCATTGTCGATCCTACTCAGAGGATATTTGTTTAATAAACGCTTTAAGAATTTTCGCTGATGTATACCTAAAAGTCTCATGGATAAGATCAACCTTGACTCAAGGATACAACTCCTTATAATTTACCTCCATCTAAACCAAACCCAAACAAATACGATGACGAAAAATCCAACAGATATCTACACAAAACACTATTAAAGCCACCCAAGAATGGTCTAACAATCACCAAACAACACTCTCGCAATATGAAGGAGCCAACAGAAAGCAAACCCACCAGATAACAAAAATAATGCACAAGAACGCAAAACACCTAAAAGACTTTTCAAGCAACAAGATACCTATGCACCAAATCCAACTGCAAATAGAGAAGAACTAAAGGCAGGACTCTAAAGTGTTGGGGAATATTTGAGGAGAGTAGCCTAATAGCAAAGGAAAGGAAAGCTTCAAAATCCCTTTCAAAAAAAGCTTCTGGAAACCCAAACTCCCTTGCAAAGAATGTTAAAGGAGAAGGTTATTCGAGAAGGCATAGGCACAACTTACAAGGAAATGTCTCTGTCTTTGACTACCCACCCAAACAACACGTGTCAACTTTGATTGATGTAAATTAAATTACAAGTTCCCGCCAACAAATAATACCCTCTATTCGCAATGTTTGAGATACCCAAGACGTGGTCATTTTCCTGCCAACCATCGTATGAGTTTCTTCATCTTCAGCTTGAGACAAATGGTTTGGTAAATGTATAGCGGCTACAATCACAAAGAAAGACCCGTCCAATCATCCTATGAGTCTTTTCACCCACAACTCGAGATTGGGGGGCTGTCTACTAGTTAAGGAGCGTAGACGGTCAAACAAACAACCATGCACAAGGCCTAGCACGACCTTTATTTCCCCCAGGGTATGCAATCAAAAACCAACATTTCAAGATCAAGCCCAACATTTAAAAGCGCAATACTTAACCCCCACCTGTCCAACATGCTCGGCACAACATAAACTATAACGGATACATTAACCAAAAGCGCAATAATATGAGTAATCAAGCCACACATATTGGGGTTCATAATCCCCAATATCTCGGGATTCTACTGAACAAAACCAAAATTATCACCTATAAATACAACCCCATACCCACAAAAAGACTCACTTTGAGCTACACGCTTTCTTTTCATTCTACACTTTTAATGCTCTAGAATAAACCTAAAAATACCATAACAAAACTCAACTAATATTGTTTTAGTACACGTGTTTGAATGCTTTATGTTGCAAACATCCTTTCCCAATATATGCAAATTGTAATGAATACATACCAATATGTGCTTTTTTAAAATGCCTCAAGGTACAATCTATTGGGTGTAAGAAACTATTGTTCACAGTTAAAGATTAAAACAAGAAAGACGCAAGATAACACCATCATTAGAAATAATGCAGACGGCAGAGAGATTTCAACGTATATAGCATGTCCAGTATATATATTTCAACACTTACTTCTGAAAGTTGTCTTAATATCCACAGCTGCTAAGAGTAGCAAAAGACAAATACCAAAAATAAATTATTTCAAAACAACAGTTCTACTTCTCACTAGCAAAAAAGGATGAATAATATTTTATAAAGACTACAAACACCATACTATAATTTTAAAACATTCTCTCCTCCTTTCATAAGTTTCACAACAACACATAACCGCTGTGAAGTTTATGACACAAGCAATGAAGCGGAGATAAATTACATATTTCAGCAAGCAAGGTTAAAAGCTTCGAACATTAACACATAAAACTATTCTATAAGCAACCTCTCTTTTCACATTTCATGACAAAATACATTCTAGCGGACGAGGCATTCAGCAGCAACCACCGATTCTCAATCCAAACACAGAAACAAATAACGTTCCATTTGGAAATTGAAAAGGCGCAATTCACTGATTATTTTTTAATTAAACGCTACATTTTGTCGTGGCGTCTAAGATAGGAGAAAAGGAGAGGGGAGAGCCAAAACCCTAGACCTGGTGTATATGCATTCGAGTAAAAGAAACACGTCATGTGCCGAAACGAAAACCGCAGAATAAACGATAGCAATGAGTCGCAGAAACTATGGAGGAAAAATTTAGGAGAGAGTTCAAACCTGCGTTCAGCGTTTTCTTCTGGGTTTTTGCGGCATAAGACAGCGTCGTGTTGTGTTAGAGAAGAGAGTCTACCCGGTGGTTTTCCCTGGAGCAGGAACTTCAGGTTGGGCTCTCCCTCACTAACTTCTTTCTCTCTGCCTCGCCTCGTGCGCTGTTGGGTTTGGGACTCGTGGGTTTGGGCCTCCTTGATTTACGGTCCATTAATCTTAATTAGTTCTTATCACCGCTAATTATATTCTAATATGGGTTTTATTTTAGATACAATATATTGCTTTTTACTTATGTTTTATATTTCTATAATATATTGATTAAACTCATTGTATATTTATAGGATTTCTTTTCTCTTGAAGTTTTATATCATAGTTAATTTGACTAATTAGAATTATTTATTTAAAATAAATATTAATTTAGTTATTTTAATGTTTAATTATCTTAATATTATTTTAATAACGCTGAATTTTATTAAGTTTTACATTTTTTATTTAGAATAATTTTTTAGTTTAATTATAAAATGTCAATAATAATTTATAATTAACTAATTTTATTATTAATTTTCATATATAATTCCAATTCAACTCATTCTAATTAAAAAAGGAATTCAAATTTGTTTACTTAAATTACGATATTTATTAGTTATGGAATTTTAGAATGTTATATCTTTTCTTCTTCTTATTTTTTTCTCTACTAAACAGGAATGGTAAAATGAAATATGATTAGTTATCAATAGGCAGTCCAACTCATCCCATATGGGTTTTAGGTTGTAAGTATAAAAGATTTAGATAATTGACCTATATGTCAAAATAGACCTGTAATTTTTGGTTTAGTCTGATTAGGTTAATTTGTTGATAGGTCTGATTAAAAATTAAACAAAATTATTAATATTTTATATAAAAAAATAATTTAAATAATATTTAAATAAAAATTAAAAATATATTTTTAAATTTTCAATTATATTAATAATTTTTTATTATAAATATAATTATTTAATATATAAATAAAAAATAAGAGATTTATTTAAGACTAAAATAAAAGTTAAAAAATTATTTTTTATTATTATCATTTATTTTTTTAATAATTTATTGATTTAAAATAATAATTTATCTTAATTATTTGAATATGGAATAAGTGGATGTTAAAGGTTTATTGTGTGGAATAGGTGGATATTAAATATTTATTCTTATCAAATTAACTTAATATATATATATATATATATATATATATATATATTTATAAAATCATATTTTTTATTTTTTTTATTTTTTTTTAATTATTATATAAAATAGATCGATACATATGAGTTAAATCTAACTTAAATCTATGTAGGTCATCGTTTAAATGAGTCTAACAAAAGTAAATTTTATTTAATTTAAGTCACATAATTTTGTTTAGTCTAACTTAATTTATTTTTAGAATTTTTTGAGTCAACTAATGGAATTAAACCTATTTTTTCACATATAAAATATAAATATAAAAAACTAATTCTAATTCAATAATATGAGAATAAAAAGAAAAAATATTATATATATATATATATATATATATATATAATTGTCACATATTTCTGTGTTTTTCAAATTTTTATAAATATTTTTTCTCTTTTTTCTGTTTTGTTTTCTGTATACATTTTTTCGTTGTAGACAACATATGAAAAACAAGGAACATATTGATAACTATAAAATGAAAAAAATATATAAATTAATATTTTCCTTTTTTTAAGAATTATAAAATACTTGTGTTTGTAAGATATATATTTAAAAAATATTTTTATTAATATCCCAACAAATTACATTTTTTACCTTATTATGTTGCACAATAAAACTTTTATACTTATTTACATTTTAAATGAAAAATTTAAGAAATAAATAAGTTATACATATAAAATCAAATATTTAAATATAGTTTTATATTATATAAGAGATTTTTTTTTCATAAATTATAATGATTTTTTATGATATATTATTAACAAAGAAAAGATATATAATATAAGAAAAATAATTATTATTAATTTAATTATTATTGTCTTCGAGCGAACATTAACTTTCTCTTTGGCTCATCTTTTTGTGTTGGGTCTTTTCGATGTGTCCGCTCGGATGTCTTAGGAGATAAGTTATCAGATTCGAACAACTGGTGGTGAAGTACCTACAAAGATACTTTGATGTTCAAGTCAGTGACAAGGGAAATATTTTGCAGGGATATTTTGGGGACAAAATAACATTACCATTCTCATCAATTTTACTAGCATATATAAAGGTGTAACTGGGTGGTATGACTAGGAGTTTCACAAGGTGGGACTATGTTGAGAGCGACTATGGTACATATGTCCCCCATGCTCGAGACGAGTGACATCGAAAATGTTGTGGGTTGTCCATTAAGCATTCAATTTTTGGTGTGGGAGATGAAGAGCTTATACGTTGCCCGTTAAGTATCCGATTTTTAGTGTAGGAGGCGAAAATCTTATATGCCGTCCGTTAAGTAACCGATTTTCCCCTATGCAAGAATGGGATGTTAGAGAAAAGGCAAGAATTTTCAAACCTACGTTAACTTAGAAGGCGTATCTCAATGTTAGATTTGGGTCATTGATTCGAGCAAGATCTAATGATTAGGATGGGCCAACAGTGGACCATTTCTCCCATTCTAATGGTTCGTGTTTTTCTACTCCGCTAAGTGTTATGCTTTCTCCGCTAGATTGCTTCCCTACCATCTTGTCAGTTGCTATCTACATTGCTTAGTGAGGCAATCATGACTTACTTTTTTCTTTCTTCCTCCTCTAGGTCCAAGAAGTTGTCATTGTGGAAAGAGGATGTGTCAGTTGATCGCTTTTATGGGGATAGTGTGGAGAATGATTCTACTGACTCTTCAGTTACACAAGTGATGAACTAGTTGTCGAGAGTCGTGTCTCCTGACAACGTTTTAGAGGGCACCAATGTGGAGAGGTTTGCTAAAGACCTAACCAAATGCACAGGTTATGAGTGGGCGGGTCGCCAAGTCCAGGTCTATTTGCAAAATACCAATGGCCAAATCTATTGAAGTCCTATATCAAAAACCAGGACCTGCTATCAGACGACGCCCCAAACACCATGGTGGAGCTTTGTTGCTAAGATGTCATGGATAACATATGTCATGGTTGAGAGTGTGTTAAGGAGTACTTTTATATGTACTCTTGTCTATTTTCGGACATTCACATTCTTCTTCCCTTTGCTGAATTCACGATAGTCTTCCTTTATGTCCTCAATGTCGCTCCAACGACGTTGCATCTAAACAGTTGGGTTGCCTTGCAAACTTTTCGCATTTTGTGCGAAGCCCTAAACCTGAGGCCCACACCCCAATTTTTCCTCTCTCACTTTAGTACTCATCCAGCTTCTCTCATAATTTAGTTGTCCCTTATCAACCATTCGACCTCTGCTTTGTTTGAACCCTACACCTCATTATACAAGAATTTCAAGGGAAACTTCTTTAAAGTGGTCATCCAGCCTTCTGATCGTGAACTCTTTTTTTATGGGGACAACCTCAATTTCCATTGTATTGGACTTGCAACCCGTTGTGTTTCAAGAATTGGTCAAGCTCCGAGATGCCACCTAAGGATATCCGGATATTGGAAATTTTTGACAAATTTCCCCCTCGACTACCTACCTAGAAACTTCTCGGTGTGTATTTGTCTCCCTGTCGCTTTTCTGACCTCGACGATATGTGTTATTTTATTTTGAATGGTTAATGTTTCCTTGTTTGACCTTTTGCTGAATATGCGTTATTTTATTTTGAATGGTTAATGTTTCCTTGTTTGACCTTTTGCTGAATATGCATTTTTTGCAGACATCATGGCCGCCAAGATTCCTAAGAATAAGAAATTTTTTCAAAAATTTTGGCAAAAAAGTACTAACACTGTCGAAAAGAGTAAGGAAGTTACGGTTGATGTGTCGTGCCACCTCCCTCTAATTTGTTACCCCCTTCTTTTGATGCACGTATGAAGCTTAAGAAGAAGGATAAGGAGCCCCATAGCCACCACAGTGCTTTCCCCCACGTGTTTTTGAAGAGAATGTGGACTCACATCTCCAGCCTTGACTCAATCGTCTACGCTTATAACCAGGTTTTTGGCTCAGGTCACCAGATCGACTCAAAGGTCATCATCGATATGTCGATAGTCGAGAAATATTTGTACATTACTATTAACCAAGAGAAGATGTTGCAAGCCTTCATCAAACTTTAACTTGTGCCCTTGTCTTGGGTAAAAGGTTGGGAGTTAATGTCATACAGAGCGACGAGTGCTTAGATCTAGGCGGGGTGAAGGGTGAGTTGGCCAAGACCTCTAGTTTCCTTCAGGCAACTTTGGAGGCCAACTCAGCCTTGAGTGCTGAAATCACTGGGTTGCTCTCGTCCCCGTACATGTGGTTACTTAAACTCGTATTTAGATACCATACCACGAACTTCAAAAAATGACTTTCCATTTTGATTAAGCTGATTCACCATAGTTTGAATACACGTGATGTACTCGAAAACTCATTGACTCCTTCATTTTCATGCTCTCCATCTCACCATGTAGTGTTTGTAGCCAAACTCATTTGACTTCATCATCTCCTTTATATGCTCTCTCCAACACATTCAACGCTTCTTTTGAAGTTTTAAACACTTGTTATCTTCTCAAATCCAGATTCATCAACAACTCGGTACAACATGTATAGGATTGCATTATCATTCACACACTTCTCTTTCAACGCTTTGTTTGCGACTGTTAAAATTCATTCACTTCTTTCTATTTCTTCAAAACCATCCTCGACTATCTCTCAATTATCTTGGGATCTAAGAAGGGTTTTTCATCTAGAGACTCTAATTATCATAGTTTATTACTTTTGTCAACTAGGACAGTGCCACACTATTTGTTAAACTGACCATCACTCTTTTCAAACTCTCACACACTCAAACACTCAAACTCTAGCTCTTGATACCAATTAGATAATAAATAATTTTTGAAAATGGTATATTATTGATTCTTTATCGTACGAAATAAGAATTCCATTTGGGTATTTAAAGACTGCAACTTTGACTTTTTGAAACCCTAGCAATTAACTTCCTAAAATCATAATAATAACTATCTAAAATCGTAATATTAATTGTCTAAGATATGTGTAAAATATTTCAACTAACATTTAAATTTATTATTTTTCATTTAATTTTATCCAATAAGATAGGGACTCCATAAGAAGAATTTGAGTCTTGGTCATAGCATAAGCATCACCAAGACCCTTAAAAAAACATAATACATACTCAAGTTCTATTTTGTATTTGGTAAAATTTTTGGATAAACCACAGTTCCAAGGGACACTGCAAATGCAATCTGGAATCTATTTGAGTGATTCCAACTCCTCCCAAAGAATTTTTAGGTTAATATAGAGTTCTGACATACTCTTTCCTCATTGTCTAATGGGATGAATTTCTTGAAGCAAATAAGAAATTCGAAAATGATCTCATTTGGATAATCTCTCCTTCTAATCTTCCTAAAGACTCTTAGCATTGTCAAGATTCATAGAATTAAAATGAATGAATTTAATATTAATTTTTTGTAGCATCACCCAGGAAAACATCTTCAGATACATGAATATCCTATGAATCAAAGAGATGAAATTAGAAGAGGTTATTTAAATTAGGGTCTATATCAAATACAACTTAAAAACTATCATTTTTCTAAAGAGAAACATCCTAGCAGATTTCAATATGGTTGGTTTAAAATGTTTCCTTCTTAGCTAGAGTATTCTCCAACTGGTGATGGAGCTTATTGTTTGTCATGTTATCTATTTAGTACTTTGTCAAATGGTCGTCCTGGGGCAAATGTGTTTATTAAACAAGGATTGAAATCATGGAAAAAGATTAATTCAGGAAAGAAGATTAATTTAAAATTTCAACTTCATCATTTTATACTTGATGTTCTTAACCATTCAGATTTGAAGAATTTATCTATCATGCTTGAATTATGTCAATCTTTGACAAAAATAAGGAAGTCGGTACATTTTATTTAATAGATCATTTAATTTGTCTTATTTTAACTCTTCTTGTTTCTACAATTACAACTGAGATATCATTTTCTGCAATGAAGATTATCAAAACAAGACTGCAAAATAGAATGGAAGATGAAATTCTTGCAGATAATATGATCATTTATATTGAAAAAGAAATAGCTGAAAACTTTAGTTCTGATTCCTTTATTGATGAGTTTAAACATTTAAAAGAATGAATGACACAATTTTAAATAAATATATTATTTTTTATTTGGCACAAGTTCTGAAAACATGTTAGACAAATGACATCTAGAGGGGGGTAAATAGATGCACAAATTAAATAAATGTCAAATTAAAAATTTATTTTAATATGTCCAATATTTATTAATTCAATTTTAATTATCAAATTGAATAAAGATAAAGCGGAAGCAATATAATCATAGAGATAAAATATCAACAAGATATAGATAAAAATAAGGGGCGTAAGGAGAGTAATTCAGTGAAAAAGAGATAAAGGAAAGAGAAGAGCACACAGAGATTTATACTGGTTCGGGTATAGCCAACCTTACATCCAGTTCCGAGTCAACTCTTAACACAAGAGTGACCCCAATTCACTATCTTTTAAATTTAGTTCACAAATTACAATCAACTCAGCAAAAAGAAAACTAATTCAAAAGACAATCACCTCCTTAGAAACCCACTATGGATGAACATCTCCCTAGAATCCCACTAGGGATGAACACCTCCTCTGAACAAATCAAAGGATGAACACACCTTCTTAGAATCCTACTAAGGATGAACACCTCCCTAGAATCTCACTAGGGATGAAAACCTCCTCTGAATAAATCAAAGGATGAAAACACCTCCCTGAACAAATCAAAGGGATGAATAGTTTCCACACAGGAAACAAAAAAAAAACACAGCAGAATGACAGTGACTACTTAAACCCTAAATAGGGAATTTAATAATAAACTACTTAAGCTTACAAAGGATGAAGCTAATAAAATAAGAACAGTCACACCTAGGTAATGGAGATAACAAATTGTAGAAGTCTGTAGAATGTCAACCTCCAAGAACAAGTGTGATTAACAATGAAAGCACAGTAGGCAATGGAAAAGAGGGTTTTGGTAAAATATCTCTGTGACAATGGAGAAGAGGATTTTCTCAAAACATATAAAATATCTCTGTTGTCTTGCTCAAAATTATTTTCTCAAAACTGATTGAATATAAATTGTATTTTCGAATTCTGTAATTGTGTGTTTTCTATTTTCCATCAAAACTTAATTAAATAGAAAAATAGCATCAGAAAATGACCGTTGGACATTAATATTTTCATGGATAAAAATCAAGATATATTCAAAAATATTTATTCTTCAAAATAGATATATTTTTGAATTTCAAACTGGCATAATCGATTATCTCCTCAGTATAATCGATTATGTCGGGGTAAAAATCAATTTCTCAATTCTGATGCATCATAATCAATTATGACAATGAAAAATGTCATGTTACGAAATTTTATCACACTTGTGCTTTAGAGGCTTATGCATAATCTTACTTCATCAACTTATACCTCTATATCCAATATTCAAGACTCTATCTAGTCTTCAGGAATCATCTTGGGCTTGCTTGATGTTTGAATTAAATCTTTATCAAAATAATAACTTGGGCTTGCTTGATTCTTAAATGTTGTTAACTTGAATCATCATCAAAATCATCTATTGGGAATGTAGGGTTATATTTCACATTACCATCAATCTCCCCCTCATTGTTTTCATTTCTTATTAGACAAATGACATCTAGAGGGGGGGGGGGGGTGAATCGATGCACAAATTAAAATAGATATCAAATTAAAAATTTATTTTAAGATGTCCAATATTTATTAATTCAATTTTAATTATCAAATTGAACAAAGATAAAGCAGAAGCGATATAATTAAAGAGATAAAATATCATCAGAAAAGAGAAAGATAGAGATAAAAATAAGGGGTGTAAGGAGAGTAATGCAGTGAAAAAGAGATAAGGGAAAGAGAAAAGCATACAGTGATTTATACTGGTTCAGGTATAGCCAACCCTACATCCAGTTCCCAGTCAATTCTTAACACAAGAGTGACCCCAATTCACTATCTTTTAAATTTAGTTCACAAATTACAATCAACTCAGCAAAAAGAAAACTAATTCAAAAGACAATCACCTCCTTAGAAACCCACTAAGGATGAACATCTCCCTAGAATCCCACTAGGGATGAACACCTCCTCTGAACAAATC